TTGAAAACACTCGAAACATAGGTTATCGACTACGCTGATCAACGTGGCAACCTCTGTTTTTGAGTGGGAGTCAATTTAGGTATTTTAGAGCAATTTTTGTAGAAAAGCGATTTTTCGCCTGCAGACCGTACAGTAGTACATGTGTAAAGAACCAAAGAAAACAATTTTTCACTTTTCCTGAGTAATAGGTACCTCAGGTCGAAAGAAACGAAATATTGAATTTCAGAAAACTACACAGGCCATTTTGTTCAGCATCTTGAGTAACCCAGAAATCGATGGTTTTTAATGAAAAATATTAAGAACCGAAAAATGACCTTATCTGCCCTCTCCTTTGCTACAAACTGACAAGTTCAGAATTTCAAGGGCGACTGGACCAGCCCTAGAAAATGGACCAGAGCTAAACTGACTAGTGAAAAAGGGTTTGGGAGAAAAAGGGGCCACAAAAGCAAGGACTATTTGATATATTGCATAGGTAGAATTATTCTAGGCGCCCTACTGCTATTAAAGCACTGCGGTTAACTGCTGGGCTACACACATTCTGTGGAGAATTTTAGGGGCTATCCAATTATATATTTACTTTGTCTCCTATGTGAAAGAAACATGAGAAAAACACCTTTTACGTAATCTACACCTGATCTCTGAGGGATGAGCTGTTGGCGCCCTATTGACGAAGAATTACTCGGATTTTAGTTACCAACAGTACTCAAAATTACTTAAAACCGACTGATAATAGTTTTCTACTTCTCACAGAATCATTTTTAGACAAAAAATAAAGTGGGCCGATTATCGACTTGTGCGGACTACTCCTTTTGTAGAATTATGTACTTTGATACAGTGTGTATCATTTTAGGTCTCACTTACGTCATCTGTCAGTATTGTTGCTATGGCTCGCCCCACTTGTATCAGATGTCGCTCCTGTTGTTCTGGTCCCATAAACAGTACAATAAATCTTGAGTGTAATTTGAGTTCGAGTAGACCGTGCAATTCCAGAGCATTATCCAATCGAACAAAGACCATAGTCACTTCTGTAACGAAATCGACTGGACAGATCAATATGCTTGCACCTTCTGATTGACGTTGCAATTTGCGTTGTAATTTCACGTTGTACTCTTTATCAAGCTAAAAAGACAAACTTGTCTCCAACGTATTACAGATGTGTTATTCAATGTTACTTTTGGATCTTTAATAGGATAGTCTTCTTGTACTTTATGTTCTTGCTCAAGAAGTGACATTTCTTGTGCACTTGCTGGTTTTGGCAATGACTCAGATGAACCTGTGTTGTAAAAGAATAGAGTTCTATAAACAAAATATTATATCTGGAAAGTACTCACCTTTTTTCGAATGAATTACAAAACTTGTACTTGCGTGTATCAGTCCACTTGATTTGGCTAGGCTAACAGCACTCGCTGTTTTCGTGACGGATCGTTTTTCGTGATGATGAAAGTGTGGTAACGTCAAAATTCTCGCTAACTTTTGAGCATTGCTAACATCAGTAAAATATTCTTTATCCATCAGCGCTTGAGCAATAGTTTCTAAACAGACAGCCGCATCTACAACAATCTTAAAACGAGTGAAAGGGACGTACGCCCTAAACTTGCGTTATCCGTAGTTGCTAAGTTGAGTATAATAACACCCGATGTCAACCATTTTTTCAAATCTAAAAACGCTGTTTGCATCAGTGTGGCTACATGAGGTTTTGACCAACGACCAAGAACACTTTCGGCAGTTTCTTCAAATCGCAACCATCTAAAATTTAGTATTTCTGTAGAAGACGACGTTAAAACGAAGATGTCCTCACTCACCTTGCTTTTTCTGTCCAGTATGAATATTCACCCGCTTCTTGCTTTCTTAATAGATCCAATTGACAAAATAATTGGGGTACATCAAATTCGGCTATTCCAAGTTTAAAAACTTGTTTATGACTCTGAGATTATACAAAAACAATTCAGAACGGCCATTTCAACGAGATACAAATTGAACTTACCTCGCTGTTTGGTTGACGACTCAACATTTTCTATGATCAGTTTCAATTCTAAATGAAAGAATACAGTTTTTACTAATACGTGAACCATAACGAATGGCATTCTCCGTATTTTCAAGTTTGCCAGTAAGGTAGAGCAAACTGTATTCATTCGTGTTAGATGTCTTTTTACAGAATAGTTACGAGAATTCATTCCGCCATATCATAATAATATCGTTACTCTGGCTATTTTAAATTACTTCAAAATCTGTTTTTTCATTCAATTACTGCTATTTATTCTTAATACACAAAAACGCTTAAGACTCATCATAATGGCATGAGAACACGGCACAACTAAGCTGAGACTACTATATACGATTACTCAATTGAGCATCTCACATATTTGGAACAATTATTTCAATGCATTTTGACTAAAACTGAAAGTTGAAAAATTAAATATTTAAGATTTTCTACAATTTAAAAAAAGATAGAAATTAATACTTTGAAAAACTGTAAACTGTTCATTTCCCCATCTGTTTATACTCTTTTCGAATCCAGTAGTGACAGATTACTTAGTTTCAAATACTTTGTTAAGATCAATCATGTTGACATGAAAATAAAGTTAAGAACATCAATCATCTTTTCAGTTAAATTGTTCCTAGAATAACTATGAGAGTGACAAGTGTTTTCGTTTTCAATATAAGTTTCGTTAAGGCCTCCCGCTCCTCCAGGTCAGAAATGTGGATTTTTGCCAAAAATCCGATTTTGAGAAAAGCACATGGTTGGATAGCCCAAAGCGTCTACTTGTCAATGGCATAATTTTTGTGTCGATAGGATAGGCTTTTCGAGAGTTTTCCAGAACCTCTATACCAAAAACATGACCTTGTTGCACTTGCATTGCATAAGCGTACGCATATGCCGCACATGTCCGCGCACATGCCCATTAGATCTGCCATGACCGATAACCGGTAGCATAGTATTAACAAATTACTTAACATTCAGATAGTTTTTAGTAAAACACATTTAACAGAATCAAAACTTATTTTGCGTGTTTCTTAAGACTGCTTTTTAGCTTCAGGGCCATATGCAGGAATTCTCGGTACATCGGAGAGAGACAATTGTTTTTTTATGTATAGATAACGCCTATAGCTAGGACTTGACAGAGTCCGATTTTTAAATTATGCTTCCATTTCTTATATAAATGAGGGTTCCTAAGCAAACTTCTAAGGATTTTTTGGATTTTAAAGTTCTATTAAGCACCTGAAATCAGTAAATGGAAAATTCAAAAATCGGGCTCTGTCAACTTCTAGCGGTAGGTATTTACTGCAAAATAAAGTCTGACTCGGGGAGAAAACCTTAAAGTTACCATTTTTAAAGATTTGCGCCGTTGCAATGATGCAAACCACTACCCTAGTAAAAGTCCTATGAGTTTATTGACAGGATCCGAGACATATTCTACCAATATCCTGCTAGGATTTTGCTTTGTTTTATTAGGATTCTGACAAAAATTCTACAGAACCTTAATGAAATCAGGTGTATCGAAATGTCATAGGATTGTCCAAGATTCTGTTAAGATCATAAACAAACTTAACAAAATCCTAGTGGGATCCTAGCATTTTAAGAATGTGTCCGGAAGTTACTAGGTGAATTCTAAATGCTAGGATCCTGTAAAATCCTAGTAGAAAACAGACAGAAAGTGCGCAGGATTTTGTCTAAGGTAATAGTGCATAAACACAGTCTAACTAAGTTTGATTCTGTCATGAAAACATATATTTTTCGACCAGATTTTGTGTCAAAACTTCGATCACAGTCAGTATGAAGCACGTGTCATAGTTTAGCAATAGTGCGCGAGAAATTGGCCTCGTTTTTTGAATAAAAATTGCTCGTCACCTCAGGGTAAGTTCTTAAAAATGGTAACTTTAGATAAACTTTTATTGAAAACGAAAACACTTGACACACTCAAAAACTATTCTTAAAACAGTTTGACTGAAAATATGATTGATAGTTATAAATGTATTTTCGTTTCAATACGATTGATATTCATGGTCATACAATAACTAGAAATATGATAAATCCCTCGAGTTTCAAATGATTCATAAGTACAAAAATGTTTTAAGCGACGTTAAATGTAATGAATCTGAGTCACAACTTAGCAGAAGAATTTTTGAATGGTTAGACTAAAACTAGTTCTTTTTTTCATTATAGAAAGAGAAAATTTTCTTTTTACAAGAGTCAACATAAAAGTAAAATAGAAATTTTTAATTGGAGTTAGTTCGTTGGGAGATGGAATAGTAGTCCAAAAATCCTGATGTCGTCTTTTTACATCTGCAGTCTCAACACGTATTTATTCTTAATATTTTTCTTGCCCAATAAAGGTAACTTAGTAACAATCGACTGACATGTTTTTTATCTATGAAAATTTAGCAAGTCATAGTCACGTTTTTTCTCTTTTGCTTGATCAGTTAAGGTTACTCCCCTCTCTTTTTTGATTCGATGGAAGTCGCTGTTTGATCGAGATGACATTTATACCAGAGAACATCGTAAAACAAAATCGATGTGTTTTTGTCCAGAATTTTCTCACATGTTCTTCTATGGGTTTTCGGTAGAACTCCAGTTTTCATCTAGTCACATTATAGCCCCTCGAAAAAATGGTCTGATCAAGCTCAAAATTTTACCTCAGATACTTTAGACCCTATCTCAGGTTCGCTTTTTTTCTTTTTGGGTATACATGTTATATGTAAATATGCTTTCCTTCTCGAGATATTCGAAGTAACTGTTTTAAACATTTCAGGTCGATCGAACCATTTTTTCGAGAGATCATAATGTGACTGGATTGAAGGGACTATCGAAAAAATGCATAGTGAGAAAAATACATATTGTACAGAGGGTTCTGTTTTTCAGGACATTTGCAGTGATATTATATCTCCACGAAAACTCATCGGAAAATTCTGCAAGACGTGTCATTTTGAAGATCATACTTTAGAGCTCTGCGGGATCGAGGCTGGAGGAAAAAGTTTTACGAGATCGGATGAGGCTTATGGGACGGGATCGGGATACGGATTGGAGAAAAGATCGAGATATTCGACCATGTTCGTTTTTTTACTAAAAATTACTGAGATTTTCACCAAAAAATGAAAGTCAACGAAAAATTTCAAAACATAGATCATTCGGCTCGGTTTTCAACGCCAATTCCGAATATGATATTTTTATTGCATAACAAGTGAGTTCTGGTAAAGAAAATGGAGAATTAAGGGCAGAAGTCCGATTTTTCCGCTCCTGATTCCGAATAAATGTATTTTCTCAGGAATGAAAGAAATTTTAGAAAAAAGCGATGCATATTTTTGTAGTACAAATCCAGGCCGATAAAATCAAGGTAAGAATCAGAGTTCCATCTCTTAGCACAAAAAACTAGATAGCCTTTTGCAGCAAGACCTTGGCTTTGGGGTTATGCTAGTAAACGAATTTTTCATGCAATGACATTACATATGGAAACCTTCGAAAGCACATTTCCTAATTCAGTTTTCAATGCGAATAATACGAAGGAGAAAAACTATTCAACTTTTCGAAACACAAAGGTTTTTCCGGTTTTTGAGACACTCAGAGTATTTCGAATTTTTCTTCGTGAAAACGTGATAATCTTGATCAGCGTGAAAATGTTTATCAAATAGTGTAGAAGTAAACCCAAAACTAAAATAGTGTTTCAACTTTGAATTAGCGGCGGCTTACATTTAATCGAGTATATAGACATTGATTGAAAAGAAAAGAGCGAAAGAAAAGAAAAAAATATTAGCATCGAAGGCCATTTTTGGCAAGCCTGGATTTTCGTAGAAAAAATTTTCGAAATTTAACGGGATTGTAATTAAGAGTACGAGACGGAATTGGAGAAAAGATTTTTTCGGGATAGGGATCGAGATAGGATTTTACTCTACGGGACAGGATAAGGAGGAAAAAAACTTAATGTCACAGTGCTCTAGCAGACTTTCTTCTATCAGACTACAGAAAAAATTTTGAATATATCAGAAAAGAAGAGAAAACTTTATACAACTAAAACATTAAGATTTTTTTAGATTCTGAAGGAGAAACTTAAAAACTTCATATCTTTTTCAAGGAAAGCCGTAGAGAACTAGGAGTAGTCTCATTTTATAGCTCAGACTTTCCTCTATATTAGACTATGTTCAACTCAAAATGAAAAGTTTTTTTTGTAAAAAAAGACTATGTTTCAACTAGTCTATATTTCAAAAACAAGAACAAATAGTTTAGTAAGAGTAACTATTTTATCTTTAACAATAATAAATTTCAAATAAACATAGACTAAATACATACCGGATATTACGTGATTTATAGAAGAATAACTTTTTTCTTTTCTTTCTTTCTACTATCACTCTTTGACAGTATTAGAGAACAAAAGAGAGCAAACCAGATACTAAATACTTTGAATATGAAACCAAATAGTTAGATAAGTACATATTATTATGATAAAATGTCAAATATTCTTGTATGATATTGTACATTCATTATTACTAGAAAAAATTGTCTTGTTTACAAACTAACATTTTGTTACAAAAAAAACAAAAAACATTTTCATCATTTTCTATTTTTCAATAAAACTAATTTCCGTTTGCTTCTATGTTCTAAAAGTAAATCAGTTTGCATGTGATTTCTAATAGATTCATTCAAAATTACATTAGTTTTTAAATTATATATTCATGAAAAAATATTTTTTAAAAACATGATTATATTATAATTAACAAAATGTATGTTTTTACCTATAATTTTCTGTACGGATCACCTTATATGCTGTCTGTAAATAAATAGTACAGATACATTCATTCAAATTTGTAAGGTCATTGATCACATTACGACACATTAACAGAATAAAATGAAAAAAGAGTCCTTTAAAAATCATTTTTCATTTCTTTTACCGTTTCTTTTATTTACTCCTTTTTTTTTTTTGATGAATGATTAAACTGAATGAAAGAAAAGAACATCGATGTTTAGTTCATTAGAAACATGTTGTTGTGGTATTTA